TCGGACGTGTTGAGTTTAAGATGCATCAGCGTCCAAGAGGGATGTTCAGCAGGCTGTTGGATCAATGAATCTAGAGTCAGGAAAGCAGCTCAGACGGGAAGTAGAAATTTCAGTAGTGAAATATAGTTTCCTGCTTAATCTTGTTCTTAATATCAAGGCCATGCTCACTTCTGTAGGGACAAACCAACCAGGCCACAGAGAGGTCACAGCAGAGCTGTCGGGTGCGTGGCAGCAAGCCTCACCTGAGCTCGCCTGCCCTGAGCGCGCGTTAGTGCCCGGGGCCTCCGGGGCGTCCAGGTGTCTGCGTAATGAGCCATCAACCTTCCCTAGAAGAGGGGGAAGGTCTTGTTCATGGGCAGGCTGGGAAGTGGTGAGAGCCAGCTTTGGGAGACCTCTTTGCTCCCTCCTGAGCTGGCCCTCCCTGGATGGCTCCTTTTGCAAGGAATATCCTCTGGGGAAAAGGTCTTTGGTTTAGTAGGGTTTACACTTGGCCTGGTGGGAAGTTGGAGGGCTTAAACACACAGGGAGATGGACAGCAAGCAGAGCCATGGTCACACAAACAAAATCTAGACAGGGTCACTTCCAGCAGCCCCTTGCGTGGCCATTCATCTCCCTTTTGAATCCAGCCCTTTCAAGTTTAGTCACTGCCATAAAGCTCCCTCTCCTCCAGCTTCACTGACACCCCGTCATTCTGTCCTGTGTGCCACGACCGGCAAGCTGCTCATCACGGCTCCTTTGCCACAGCAAGGTGCACACGGAGGCCACGGGTGCGGAAACGCCCTCGCAGGGCAGACGCACTGGGGCGGGGCTCGCTGCCGTGCACCCCCAGCAGCTCTGCTGTTAAGGAAATCCCGTGACCTCTCTGTGGCCTGGCCGGTTTCTCCTCCAGAAATAGCATGGCCTGGACATAAGCAAACCTAAGCCACATTTTGCTTATCATTACTTAGTGGAATGTCTTACTTGCTCAGAATCCACCCACATCCACGGAGCAGTGTGGCCCACGGGGAGCATATATTGGACATGCTTCCATGTCCAATTCAAGCTCAGTCACTGCCATGAAGTTCTCCTAAAGTTCCCAAAAATTGCCATAAAGCAATATTAAACATGTTTATGAACTAATATCCTTTAAAGTGGATGACTGGGATATGATTCCTATTCGTCCACACCCAAGGGTTACGGGCCTCTCCTGGTGGCAATAAGAAACTTTCATCAGCGTGGCCCAGAATCATTGAGCCTAGAAATACCAAGACTCAGTGCGCTAAGATGATCGCTCCTGCTATCCTGTTTGATTCAATGCTATTAACCTGGAAGTTTCTCTCTGGTTCTAGCCCCAAGTTTTATACAGGGACCAGCGTGGTCCACCGAAAGGGAGCAGAAGGCCTGGTCCCAGTTCTCAGGCTGCTGGCAACCTTGAGCCATCTACTGGAAGTCTTGGTTTTCTCATTTATAAAGTGAGGGTCATCAATGAGCTTTTACTGCTTTGCGTAGTTGTTAGGAGGTTGAAGTCACTGCAGGTGTGTAAGTAACGCCCAGGTGTGTGAAAGCCCACAGAAGTCTACAGAAGCAAGTGTTCCCTCTTCAGTCAGCCCTGTGGCCAGAACTGGGCTCCTAATTTGCAACATCTGAGGTGTTCCTCTTCTAAGACTCTTCTGAGACTAGTCAGAATCCAGTGACACAGGTCTGTGCAATGTATGTTCTCTCCAGCTACATTCGGAAGCTCTCTAGGGGGTGGGATGTAAGGAGAGAATCTTTGCAATTTGGATTTTCACACCTCAGTCACACTCCGAAGAGGGTACAAATGGACTTTATAAATACACTTGCCAAACTTTACAGGGAACTTCCATTTTTCTCTTCTTCTTCAATCCAGAGTCTTGTTCAGCTTATTTAGTGCCTCATCGATGTCTTATTCATAACAGAGACTCCGTACAGAATTGTACAGCTGATCTGGAGTCCAAAGGAAATGTGCACAATACAAGACTGAACCTATCTAATGTAATGTAAAACTTAAGCTAGGAAACAGCTCTCACTCTGAAGCAAATTGGCACAGGGTTGCATTAAGAGTATCGTGGAATTTAATGATTTAATTGGTTGGAGTAAGAGATGCCTATGTGTTCCAGAAAAATTAAAACTTTCTAAAGACTGTGGACATTCCTATTTGCAGTTCTTCAGAAGCACTGTCAGAATCCTAATAAGGTATGGGGCAAATTCCTTGCAGGCATTCAGTATGCTCGGTGAACTCTGGACACGGAGTGTGGTCAAGGCATGTGGGTGGAAAGAACCTCAGTTACACTGCAGCAGCCACAGGTCAGCAAAACAATACTTCTTAGTTTGTAGTGGACCAGTCCTTTTCTGAGGAATTCTCAGCAACCTCTCAGTAAACCAGAACTTACAGAGTGGAAACCAGTTCTTAGAGCTAATACCAACTTCCCCATCACCCTTTTTTTAAACTGCTCAAGTCAAGAAGAATGATAAGAAAATAGGCTTTTCACAGGAACTTATATGAACGTGTTTCTGAGGTTGTTGGAAACATCAGATGCTCTTCAGCCCACCTCCCATAGCTTCCAGATTTATGTGTACACTGCAGTCCATGCCAGTCACCCTAAAGATGATCAGTCCATTTCCCATAAAGATTATTTGCTGTGAGTGTTGTCATAAACTTGCACATAGAAACAAGAATCAGAAATGGGGTTTCAGAGACCTCTCTGAGGGGCTGTTTGAATTAACAAGATAACTTTTCTTATAAAGGTGTCAAAAATTGAGAGGTGGAACTACTGTATCTTTCTTGTTACTCTTAAGATGCTAGTGCTTGGGAAATGTATAAGGGCTAATTTGAGTGTACTTTTCTTTAAATTGATGATATTATGGCAACTCTATATCCTAGAAATTACAGTATTCGTACCCTACTGAGGAAAGCCATGTATGAATAAGACTTTTATGATCATCTTGGGGAACATAAATCCTGAAGCATACAGCACCAAATTAAAAATTAAATCCCTGTAGGGGAGTATTTTAGCTGGTTTATAAGTTAGAGTTCTTTTCATATTAAGGCAAATAAGTTGACTAATACATTCTAGAAAGACTTTAAACAATAAGAACTTAAAGGATTCTCATTATGATCCTACCTTAAATTGAAATCCCCATTCTACTAGGGTTTTTCTGAATATCCAATAATATGTGAACTGATAAGCTTAACTTAAATGATTGAACATAGAAACTCAACTCAAATCATGTATTAGGTCTCAATTTGATGGCTACTATTTGATGGAAAGTTTCAGCTAAGGTACCTGATCACACACTGAAGTAAGCACCTTTCTCACCAACATGAAGGAGATGGCAGTTTTCTGCAACTCCACCATTTGGTCCAAAGAAGTGATAAATTTCCCAAGTCGTTTCCTTTTCAATGCAACCTACTATTTCACTTGCATAGGATATAAATTCTTATTCAGTGATTTATCTGTCAGTGTTTGTACAGCTGTGCCTGTGTCCTTACACCCTCCTGTGAATTTGTCCACTAATAGAGGCTATTTCAGACTTAGATGTGATCTCTGTCAGGTCAGGAGTGTAATTTGTTTAACTTCCCGTATGTTAAACATTTAATATGTGATTATTGTAGTTTTCTGCTTAGCCATGTGATGAAATACTTCTATGAATATTAAACATGTTTATGAACTAATATCCTTTAAAGTGGATGATTGGTTATGATTCCTATTCGTCCACACCCAAGGGTTACGGGCCTTTCCTGGTGGCAATAAGAAACTTTCATCAGTGTGGCCCAGAATCATTGAGCCTAGAAATACCAAGACTCAAAATGTGCTAAGATGATTGCTCCTGCTATCCTATTTGACTCAATGTTATTAACCTGAAAGTTTCTCTCTGGTTCTAGCCCCAAATTTTATACAGTGGAAACTAGTCTCGGGGTAGGGTCTTGGGGATTTGCAGCCAGGGACAAGAAGAAGGTACAGTGATGAGTTGCTTGCATTTAGGTGCCGTGTCACACAAATGTAGACACAAACCCTTCATCCTAGAGTTGTCATGTTTGTTATCCTAGCCGTTAGCCATGTGTGGCTAATAAGCACTTGAAATATGGTTAGTCCAAAGTAAGATGGTGCTGTCATTGTGAAACCACAGACTTTGAAATTTGTGTACAAAATAGAGAATGCAAAATATGTCATTAACAACTTTTATATTGAACACCTGTCAAAATGATAACATTTTAAGACGTAATAGGTCAAGGAAAATAGATAAATTTTGCATTTCTTTTTTAAGTGGTTTCAAGATAACTTACAATTACATGAGGGATGCACATTCCCCTTCTATCAGAGGGTCTGGAGTGACCCGTCAGCGATGGGGGTAGGGAGGCACTCCTGAACGGTGCTAAGGAGCTGACAGCACCCAAACAGAGCAGGATAGGGGCCCACCTCTTTTTCTTGACACTTTCTTAACACATTACTATGCCTGCCTCTCCAAAGAATAACAACAGTATTGGTTTTTTTTCCCCAAAACTTAGATGTTATTAGAAATTTAACAGCTAAAGTATTAAAAAATGTTTATTGTCTGAGGAATTGGGGATGGATTGTAAGGTCATGAATGATCCCACTCCTGGTTTTTCCCAACACTTGCCCAAAGGCAAACCTTAGATCGTCTGCTTTAAAATGCAAACAGTATGCCAAGTACTGGGAGACAGGAGGAAAGATGGCAGATTCCAGCTCACAAACAGTCCTGGTCTAAATGGGCCGAAAAGCACATTCCTGCAACAGAGTGTGTAGGGACAGAGGGGTGGTACCTCTGTACATATTGGGGTGCAGGGTGGAGGTGTAGTATTAAAGAAATCTTCTAAGAGGAGAGAGCGCTTGAGCCATCTTAAAATACCACCCCCTGGTTTTCTGGAGTTTTATTTATTTTGCACGAAGGCCATTACCAAAGGCGGCCACCAGGTTCGGGGCCGGCACCGAGGCCCTCGGGTTGCTGAGAGCGCGCTGATTCCATCCTGTGGCTTCCAGGTACCAGCAAGGTCAACCTCGTGAGGATCCCGTCCACAGCCTCCAGCCCCCGGGACGCAGCTCTGGCCGCTGTCATCTGCAGCGCCCTGGCCACCGTCCTGCTAGCCCTGCTCATTCTCTGTGTCATCTATTGTAAGAGGCAGTTTATGGAGAAAAAACCCAGCTGTAAGTTTTGAGCTCTTTCTGTTTCTCAGCATTTTGGTGAAGTGAGTTTGATCGTCACTGTCCTGTGAGTGAGTAACAAGAGAGTGCGACTTGAATAGATGAGACCCGGGCAGCGGCCAAAGGGACAGAGCGCACGGGAAGGCAGCCCTCGCTGCCGTCTCTGCCCAGAAAGGCACACGGCAGCCACATGGTCCTTTAGGCAGACATGGAAAAGGCAAGGGTGTCCCCCTGCCACTAGGCAAAAATAAACATCGTTCTTATTCCTGGCAGCATAACTGTACATTTTGAGCCTTCTTGACAGATTATTTCATATTTATGCCTCTGCTTAAGAAGAAATATTTTTAAATGTGAATGATGTCATTTTTTTCTTTAAAAATACAAAAGCTAGCACAGTACAGTCTGCTTGTGAAGTTGAAGGGCTCCTTTATAGAGGAAACAGTCCCCACTGATGGCCTTCTCGCCCCTCCTGCAGGGTCCCTGCGAGGCCCGGACATTCGGTACAACGGTTCTGAGCTGTCGTGCTTGGACAGACCCCGGCTCCGCGAGCCTGCCTCCAGAGCGTGCTGCCAGTGCCACCAGGACTCGGCCCAGCCCTGCGGTAAGCCGGCTGGCCGCGGGCCGCCAGGGGGGCCGGGCAGCTGACCAGGGGAGGTCTCTCTGCCTGGTTTCCTAAATAAAGCTTGTCTTGTTGGTTTTTCTCCACTGCCCCCCAAGTTTTGGATGTTTTGAGGCTCTTAAGTATTCAAAAGAAAATAAGCATCTCATTAAAGTCCTAGAATTTGTCAGCAACTTTTTAAGCAAGTTCGCCTTTATAGTTTTGGGTCAGTCCATTTAAAATAGTATCAACCTTCGGTAGAGGAGGACTTTGTATCCTTTCTTGTCTGGCGGATTCAAACTGAACGGTAATATGTCTATTTTAATGTCTTCTTGGATTTCCTCAAGCAGAGAGTGGAGGGAGATCTGTGGCCGACCGTAATTGCCTCTGAGACTACTGACAAGAACGAAAGTTTAGGGAGGTCATTCCAGTGGAAATAGGTCTCTAACGTGGGCAAAAACGGGCAAAGGTACCAACTTTTCCCTGCCATGTATTTATATTCATCAGCACACAGTCCCCTCTCTTTCTGCTCCCGTCCCCACCACCTCAGCGAGGGAAGCGCCCCCCTGGAAGTCTGCCCTGCCCTCCCCCCACCTCTCTTACCACTCTTGGGGGCAATACTAATGGCGCCATTGGGTCCCTTGGGACCCTTTTTTTGTTCTACGTTAAGTGTCTCCCGAATAGACCGACTCACCGTCTTGGAACTGTCTGATTGCTCTTTCCAAGAAACTGGCAGGATTCAGGTTTTCAACCTAATATGGAACAAGAAGTTTTCGACATCATTAGTTTTCTACTGATCATTGCTGTCTCTTCTTTTAGGAACGGCTTAAGAATGAAATCACAGGATATCACATGGTGTGTGAGGGTCTGTTTTGTCTTTGCATAGATAACAGACTCTCAGACAGCTACTGACAGTAACTGCTTGACCCAAAATGCTCCAAGTGCAGTGCACCGCGTCTAGAATCAGAGTGAGCAGGAATAATTTCTTGAGAGAAGAACCCAAGTCTCACATGTAATAAAGCACAGCTTCCTGCACAGTCTGCCTCATCTTATCTCTGTCTGAAAAGAAAGATGAAATACACAGGTGGCCTTGGGGCACTTCTTCCTAGCTGAGTCCTAAGGTAGGAAGGGGTCTCTCCAGGCTAGTGCCCAGGTTCATAGAGCTTCTTCGAGTCACTGCTTCCTCAATGCAGCACCTTACTTTCCTTTAACTTTTTGATGTAATTTCAGACTCCTGAAAATGTTGAAAGAATAGGACAAAGAAGTCCCTCAGACCCTTTAACCAGGGTTCCCAAATATCAGCATTTTATCTCATGTCCATATATTTGCTGTATCATTTTTATTTCTAAGTATGGTGGAGATGTATATATTTTTTTCACTTCCATTTAAAAATCACATATGTTGCAGATATGATGTCCTTTTTCCCTGTAATATTTCAGTGTTTCTTTCCTAAGAACAGGAACATCCTCTTACGCAACAGCACAATTGTTAAAATCAGGAAATTAGCAGTAACTCGGTGTTGTTCTATAATCTACAGAGCATATGCAGATTTTGTGAATTGTCCCAATAATATCCTGTATAGTTAAAGAAAATCCCAGGTATATAACTGTTCCATTTAGTTGTCAAATCTCTTTATTCTCTTTTCAGGTGGAATAGTTCTTAATCTTTCTTTGCATTTTGCGACATTAGTATTGGTGGTGAGCACAGGCCAGTCATTTCGTAGCATGACCCTCTGTCTGGGTTTGTCTGATGGCTCTTTATTACTGGGTTTAGAAAAGCCACAGAGGTGACGCCATGTCCTTTGCAGTGCCTCATGTCAGGAGGCACAGCGCGTCCACCTGTCCACTCCTGGCCAAGTTAACTCAGGAGCTTTGTTAAGGTGATGTCTGCCAAGTTTCTCTCTGTTTTCTCTGTAATTAATGAATACATGTGGGAGACTCTTGGAGGCTATGTAAATACCCCCATTACCTTCCAAACTGCTGCCGTCTGGGGGGTATCAGTCTTCCCTGAGTCAGGCATCACTGGCGCTTGACAAACACTGGTTCTCTAGGTCCATCATCCTCCCTACATTAATTAGCTTCCTAAGATAAGAAACAAACTTCCGCTTCTTCTCCACTGATTTATTTTAATTAGTGTGGGCTCAAGGGCCCCTGTTCAGTAGGTCACAGTCCTCTGCTGTCATGATGTTGATGCTCAAACCTTCCAAGGTCTGGCCTTCAGGCTGGCTTAGGTGTCATTTTAACATGTCCCCATTACTCTTTCAGCACTTTATTAATTTTGGCACAAGAAGAAGTTCCGGACTCATCTGTACTTCCCTGCTTAAGCCGTAGAACCAGGCATTTCTACAAAGAACGGCAGAGCCTTTGCTTTTAAAATAATTTTGAAGTGTCCTACTGTGAGCATGGCACGTTTGTCGGGTTAACTGGTGCTGGCGGCGGGCGAGGCGCCCGTGACCGCAGGGCTGTGTGTACGCAGAGGGCACCGCAGGGGAGCTGCTCTGAGACACTTAGATGAAGGCACGCTGGCCGGCCATCCCGCTGAACACTGGTTTATAATGAGTCCCAGTATTTAACATTCATTTTTAAAAAGGGAAATAGTAGTTTCCTAACTTCTTTTCCCCTTTATAGAAGGAAAGAGATTAATTCCTCATGGAAACTTTGGATACCCACCAAAACATATGCATATGTAAATACATAATTTCTTCATGTTGTCTTCTCTCTATGTATGTATGCCTTTATATTTGTCCTTAAGCCTAGTATGTTTATGGTTTTATAAAATCAGAACTAAATGCGTATATATATATATATATAGAGAGAGAGAGAGAGAGAGAGAGAATTCTAGAAAGCCTTTTACCGAATGTTGACAGTGTTAATTTCCAGTTTATAGGATTAGGGAAGATTTATTTTGAAATTTCTTATCTAATCTTATTTTAATTTTTGTCAATAAACTTGTATTACCTGCATGACCAAAAATGCCCACTGCTTCAGTGAACATAATGGTTTGTAAAGCTATGTGCACATAACTAGTTATTCCTTAAGGTACATTCCTGGCAGTAAAAGGAAAAAGTGTGTGTGTGCACGTGCACACTGAGTGAAAGGGTTCCAACCCTTTTATGTGACTGTTATATTGCTGGAACACCCAGTGAACTGTTGTACTATTTCTGCTGTTACCACAGTACCTGAGAGTCCCGTTTCACATGCCCTCACACAGACTACATTATTACTTTTCATCATGATTTTTATTGTGGTAAAATATACGTAACACAAGGTTTCCCGTTTTAACCACTTTTCAGTGCACAGTTCAGTGCCATGAAGCCCATTCACACTGTTGTGCAGCCATCAGCACTGTCCATCTCTAGAACTTTCTCACCTTCCCAAACGAAACTGTCCCCATGAAACAACTCCCCGTTCCCGCCCTCTCCAAGCTCCTGGCAGCCACCCTTCGACTCTCTGTCCCTGTGAATTTGACGGCTCTAGGGACCTCCTCTTAATGGTTCGTCATTTTATGTTACAGATAATGAGAAAAAAAATTAACTCTCATGCCCCCTTACCCCAAAAATGTCACTCAAAGGAGAACGCCCAAATTTGCAAGAGCCTTCTTGAACGGGTAGTAAAGAGAGAGTTCCCAGAAAAAAGCGCTGGGCCTCCCCTTCTGCTGGCTTTCCTAGGGCCTGTGCACTTGATTCCGTCCCTGTGCTGTGACGAGGCCTGTAGCACCAGCCACATGACTCTTGGCTGTGGGGCACACTCCCAGGCCGCCCTTCAGGAGAGGTAAGTGGGCATATTCCCTTGTGCAAATAAGCATTCTACTAATTTACCAACTTCCATGTGAAACTATGGGGGCATCACTTTTTTAGTATTATTAATGACATTCTGGGAGTTGAGGGGGCAAATCTTTGCCGGGAATTGGGTAACTAACTCCCTTGGGGTAACTGATATCCAGTGCGGCATTCTTTATATTTAATACTCCATTTGTTTTAGTTTTGTCTCATGCTCATGATTTGTGACACTTCTGTTATCTGTCAGTAATTTCTAATATGCCATGAACTCATAGAATGTTAGACCCGGGAAATTGCATGTTTTAGACCTCGGATTAAGTATGACTATATTGATTAGTTTTAAGTAAATGGGGCAATCGGACTTCCTGTATTGAAGCAAGTTTATGACAAAGGAAGCACTTGAGTTCTGACTTAATAAATTGCCGTTTCATCTAGAACACTTAAAGGTACAGCCGGAATGTTGCTCTGTAGTGTGTTTTTCCTCCCTGTGGAATACTGAAAGCCTTTTGAACACGTGTGCAGAAACGCGGGGCCCGTCCGGGAGACGGCGCCGGCTGGCTTCGGTCCCCTCTCGCGGTCCGTGTGCGGCGAGTTCTCCGACGCCTGGCCTCTGGTGCAAAACCCCCCCGGCGACGACGGCTCTTCCTGCGGCTCCTGCCCTGAGCTCGCTGGAGAAGACGCTCATTCTCTCAGTCCAGAAAGTGAAAGCCTGGCCTCCTGGGATTCACGCAGCGCTCCGGATTTGGATGGTGGAACCCTCCCCGTGCAAGCTCATTCTGAAAACGTCACAGAAACCCCTGACTCCCCTGGGCAGGGCAGCGCACTGACCGAGCCGGTACCCACCCACTCGGGGCACGCTGGCGGCGAGAAGCCAGCCCGATCCCGGGGGCGGCCTCGCCCCTAAGCCGGCCCCCCCGCCGCCCCGCCGGGTAAGGCCGAGGCTGCAGCGCGCCCGGGGCTGGGACTTGCGCAGAACGGAGCTCTAGTTCCGCCTCACGGTGTCGGGGAACCTGATGCAGAGGGTTTTCCACTGTTTATGGCTTCTTTCATGCTATAGGAGGATATATTTTAAATTAAGTTTGAGTCCTTTTTTTTTTAATTAACGCTAATCTATAAAACTGTAAAGGGCAGCTGCAATCTTTATTCTTCTTCGTAAATCCAGCTACTTAGCATAGCGCCGCCTGCTCTGTCGCTGACTGAGAGTGAGGGGCTAGCTTGGGGAGCATCTTGTAAACAGTTCCTCGCCTGCATTTTCCCTGGGATTTCTTAACCCAATACTCAATGCACTTCGTTCACTGTGAAGCTAGTGAGAATTTAGATCCCCCAAGCTACTCCGTTCCCTTCCCTCCCTTCTCATTATTGTTTACTAGATCATTCCGCCTCCACCAACTGATCTGTGGCTGGACATTTATTCTCAGCTGTGATCTGGGACCAAACAGCGTAAGAACCTTCCAGATGGAAGGGTTTAAAATCCGGTTTGTGGGGAGGAGGTGAGCGCAGGGCGAGGAGAAGGGGGCGCTTTCTCCGCCGGGCAAGGATGTGGCCTTTGCTGAATGTGACTTATTGTTTATAAATACTTCCTTAGTGGAAGCATGTACGTTGTTGGTCTGCATCCTTCTGGAAGCATGATGCCAACCTTGAGGATGAAGGGGCAGAGTCACAGCGAGAGCAAGGCTCCGGGCCCCACGAGACCCCTCCCTGTACAGACGGCATTGCTCCCGCTCCCGCCTTCCCTGTCACCAGGCAGGGCCTGTCCCTGAGGACGCTCCGAAACATGCTCCCCCTTCCGCGAGGCATTGCGTCCTTGTCTGATAATAGAAACAGCCTAAAGTCAAAGGGCAAATGGAGATGTGTGTTCCTTCTAAGAACAGTACAAGGTTAAATACTGATCTGAGTCTGCAGCAGTAGTTGTTTTGTTTTTTAACTACAAAAACATTTTATAGGGAATTCCATGCAGAAAACATGTGTTGGCTTTGGAGGAAAAAAATGTTGTGTATCTCAAAATAAAGGTAACAAAGAAGAGGTAAGCAAGGGGAGGAGAAATGAACAAATTAGGTAGCTTTAAAAGAGTACAAAACATACCTCTGTAGCTGGGAAAGATTGTTCACTCACTTTTTCTGTTGAGCCATCCCATAATTTTGTAACTTTCACGATATGAAGAAAAGACTTAGGAGTTAGGCAAGTTGAGTGTAGGTCTTAAGAATGGGTTTGGCCCACAAACCTTCAGAGGCAAGACTGCAACAGAGATTTTTAAAGTCTTAAAATTAAATCTGAATCATATTTTCATGACAAGATCCTGAAGTTTCTTTTTTAGCAAGTCAGTTGCTTTTGATGATAAATTTGTGTTACTTCACAAATATCTATTATATCTTCCTGTATATTTGCTGTTCAGGCAAAGTCTGAGTAGCTAGCCGATTGTGTGACCAATGATGAGCTACAGTTTTTCAGTGTTGTCCATAAAAAGAATTACCACTCAGCTTAATTTTGCAGCTTGTCCCCAATTTTGTGATGTAAGTTCTGAGACAAAGGAATGAAACATCTTCATGCCCTCATATCAGAACCAACTCATTCTCTACCTTTTTCTGTTTAAACATTGTTGGTGATGTGGGGGTAGGGTTGATAATCATGATTATCAATTACCATTATATGAATGTAAAAATGTAGAAGGTGAAACAGTTTAGTATATAAGCTTGGTGTATAATGACATTAATTCCTTTTCAAGGACAGTTGTCAGGGTAATTGTGATCTACATGAAGATGCTTTCACCTTTATTTTGAAAAGAAAGTTACAGTTACATCTAAAATGAATGAGAAAATGTTTATTCAAGTTGTACAATGTAATTAAAGAAAGTTTTTATTAGCTTTCTAAGATGTGTTATAATTATTAGATAATTTTGGTAAAATAATATTTTGAGCCCATTTTAAGAGATAATCTTTTTACAGATTCTGAAAGGCACTTTCTCTTTGATTATATTTACTGAATGCATGAAAATTGACTAAAATTTAGTCCCCAAAGAAAGTAGACAGCAGCCACCCCTGCACATCTTTGGGAGATGGGACCTCTTCATCACGAGGGTTGGCTGAGTATTTAACTCAACTAGTTCTGTGTTTTCTTCAATCCATTAGATTCCAAAAAGCTATTCAGACTCCCCCTAACAGGCTAGTTCTCCAAGACAGAGAACATACTTCTCATAAATAACTTCCCATACTTCTCATAAGTAACTTGATCTCAGCAGCTATAAACCAAAGTAAAGGACTTCTGGTTTCTCGAGTTCATGTTCAGTTAGCCTGGCTGCCTTGCCTGGGCTCGCTCATAATTCAGGAAAGCATACAGTATTTCTGTTTGAGAGATGTATGAGAGCACATATAGCATAGTCGCCCTTTTATTTATGTAAGTGATTTACTTCTATTTTGTTTTCAATGAAACTTTAAATTCCTACCCAAGCATTCACTTCTATTTTCAGGGTTTTACAACTCTATTCCCCATTTTCTTTCTAGCTTTACTGAGATATAACTAACATATAATATTGTATAAGCTAAAGGCATACAGTTTGATGATTTGACACTTGTATGTATTGTGCAGTGCACAACGGTGCTTTGTTTTTACTTGGTGAGAGGCTCAGATTTCTAGCGCATGATGCATTTGTTTCCGGAAACTGTGTTTTTACACAGTAGTTTTCTTGTGGGTGGTTGAAGACCACCCAGAATCTGTTGATGACAGTGTAGTTCAGGAAAAAGCAAATAGGTGTGAGAGAGCCTTCTCTAGTTTGTATGACTCCATTTGAATCAGTTTCCCTATACACACCTCCCCAGAAGGGAACAAAACTACGATATTTGGGAGAGTGAAGTCAGCCTGTTTACTTACAGGAAAAGCTTTTTTTGGTGGTATTTTTTAAGCAACATTTTAAAGGTCAACCTGACATAATAGAAGGAATGGTGGAAAGGACACGAGATGAACCAAGTCTTGGTTTCTCAACCTATTAAACTCTATTTTTTTCCTTATTGGCAAAATGATTATCATTTGCCTCCCACAGTAATGTTAATGTAGTTATTATTGTATCGATTAATTAACATATTTGATAAAACTATCTCTTATCATCAAGAATACTTGAGAAGCTTCTATTGACAGATAATCTTATTAGATCTAGGATAGGAAAAACTTGTTTTCCATAATATATCCAATACATCACCAATGCCAAATTAGTGGTAAATATGTTAATGAAAGATTACTGCCAAAAACGAAGGTTTTTCACAGTAATGTGCAGTTTGTTGATGCCTCGTCCCTGCCTGATGTGAGGTCGCTGCCCGTTTGTGATAAGAACAAATCTAAGGGCTGTACTTTGCTGAGGGTATTTGTGAAAAGTGTGAGTGTTCCAGGAACATTGCTGTAGGAGAAATCTCATTCCCAAACTACAGCTCAACTTTCTCCAGCAGTTTAACAGAAGTTCTCAATTCAGAGACTAAGAATGGCCCTATCCATTAACCATCTTTGGTTTTTTTTTAAAGGAAGGACCAAAAGATCCTAAAATCTTTAAAGGGGTGCAAATTAGCTTCAAATGTTTGAATGAGGTTGAAAATCAGCAAAAGAATTCTTTGTTAATATGTTTTATCATTATGGGTCACATTATCTTTTAAGCACTATTTGCAAATACTGAACGACCATGAGTTGTCATGAAATCTTTATGCTGAGCACATGCACACATGGATATTTGAACACCATTAAGTGAGCTTCTTGTTCATAGGCTGTTAAATTCATGCGTATTACTAGTAAAAGCAAGCACAGTAATTTTTTTGCAATTACAGGTTAGCCCCTTTAATTTGTAAAGGTATTGTTTTTAAAGCTTTCCTTCTGTTGCTGTTTTAGGACGCTTAAAGGACTTGCTTTTTTCTGCAATGGAAGTGTACAAATGGAACCCAAGGGCACTCACTCCTCCGCCGAGTCTTATAGACTGAGCACAGTCTGGATCCTGCATGGCTTCTGGGGAAAAAAAATAAATCTGAACCAAACTGATGGCGCTTTAAGCCTTTCAACCAGTTGCTTCTGAGCCAGACCAGCTGTAAGCTGAAACCTCAAGGAATAACAAGAAAAGACTCCAGGCACTCATGATACTTTGCGTCTTTCCTAAACAAGAAGCTTCTATGCCTCAGGCGTGACTTCAAAGGCTGATGGGTCGAGTTTGCAGCCTACGAGACTGTGGGCACATAACAAGAAGCAGAAGTGCATTCTGGCGACTTTTCATGGTGAATGTGGTTTCACAAGACTGCAAACCCCAGAGCATAAATTTTCACTTACATTTTCTTTCCAGAAATAATTTCATATCGCCGATTACCCTACTAAAAAGTCAATGTCAGATTAGCTACCGAAGTTTTTCTGTAGGATGGGTTCAAAGGTGAGTGCTTCTATTTGATGAAGGTCGTTTTTCATCATCTAAACTAAAGCTTAAGAGGTTAGAACTGGTTTCATACTGCCTGCGTGAATCTTGGGTTTATTAGGTGAAGTTAACTGGCCTGACTAGAAATGAGAGGAGCACAGATCTTTTCCAGAATGGACACTTCTAACCGCAGCCCACGTCCCATGAACACCTGCTGGAGCTGGGAGGACGAGGGGCCTGCGTTAAGGAACGTGGTGGGCTCACGTCACTCTGTGAAAATCACTCAATGCACATTACCTAGAGAGTTTATACAAAGGTTAGCATATTTCTTTGAAAATCAGTTGAAATGGAAGCATTTGTTACTTCTGTCCCCCTTACTGCGCTTAGAAGATCCAGAGTTTTTTTAAATAGAAAAGTGGTTATTTATAAAGATAATGACTTTATTCTTTGGCCTGTGTCTTATACTAAGGGCTTTCAAAATGCCAACGTATCAGGTTCCCCTACTACTGAAATGCAACACAAGTTAAGTAGTCTTAGAAGACTCCACTACGTTTTAAAACCAGAAGAAAAGCATGTTTGTAGGCAGTGTTCAGGTGAACAGGGTGTAACTCATAGTGTGGTTTGACCAGGATGTTCCAGGGTTCCCGCCCTTCATGTAACTTGCATTAGCATTGTAATCTCCTACCTTAGCCCCATGATGCTGGAGCTAAAAGTGTGACGCTTCTATTAATGCGCTGCACCCACTAGAATTGTTTCTTGAGCTAAGACAGAAATGAACCCAGTTCAGGCAGCTCATTTGCTCTTAATCTTTTTGCCCTGGAGAGGAATTAACTGAACAGGATTTGTTTCCTACCTGAACCCACATGATCAGATCTGGCCTTTGTGTTTTAACTGAGTACCATGAACTGTTACATTTGCACTTAAAAAGAAATAGACCTTTAGACATCATTGTGTCAGAGTGCACTAAAATACTTTGTTTCGGATTTGCCCCATCCAAAGTGCCTTTTATCTCATTTAAAGTGAACATTACAAATCTGTCATTCATAGGACATTTTTATCTTCTCACTTATTATCCGGTGCTTTTCTCTCTATGCAAGACAGTAAATCTAATGAGCCCTCTTACTGTGGATGAACGTTTCTCTACCCATAGTCTTCGATTCCAATATCTAAGTGTTCTTTTGCCTGAGTTCGGTACTTCTCATGACCTCAGTTCCTTTAACCAACATGGGACATCAGAGTGTTTCATGGTAACCCGCAATCCTTTGTGTCTAGCTAGTGCCCAGTCACAACTGATTGATTTTTTTCTCTCTTTCCCCGCTTGCTTAGATTGCTCTTAAGCTTTGGACTCATCAACTCTATGAGCATTGCCTTTAGGAAACTTGTGAAATATTTAGGATTTGACCATAGGATGTCCATGAAAATGCAAGTTACAGTTTCCCCAAGGGGCTTCGCGTGATGCACATATGTGTGCCGTTGTTTGCAATCTGACCACTTCTGTTAAGACAAAGGGATGATCAAAGTAGATGGGGTTGTGCTCCTTTTTATAACCAGAATGCATTTTTCATATGTAGAGCCCTTATTAACGTCAAAGACCACCACTTAGCTGGAAAAAGCTAGATAGATGAGAATGAGACTTTGGCCAAAAATCCAGAAACATCACTTTCAATCAGTAGAGAAATACTGAAGGTTGAAAGCCAGTTTCATTTGATACTGTATTTACAGAATCCTGGGTTATTTTTATCAAGATGACATTTTACCACCACCAACTGCAGAAACATAAAAATGTATTCTATACTCTTTGTGAACACTTGAGAAAAAAACTCCAATTTGCATTTCATGTTGGGATATCCTACAGCACTCAGAGGGACTCAGCTGTGGGGTGCTGGTGCCCAGAAACAGTCATCAGCTCGTAGCAGGACTGGGAATGTGAACCACGGTGACATTTAATGCTGTGGAAACTCATCGACAAGAATGAGACAAGGATTTGGAAAATGAGCAACCACATAAAGGCATGGTTTTCTAATTTTGTGTATATGGAATATATTTTTCAAATACAGATTTTTCTACTTTAGATAAAATGTTAATGTTGCTCTTACATAGGTTAAGCACTGTTGTCTGTGCCAGTAAGAAAAAGAAAAACTGTCATTGCTTTCAGGTAGTCAGTTTGAATCACTTTGGATATCATCACTATTTTTGCATACTGGAATTTATAAATTTGTACATTTTCATTTTCTTATGCAAACAGTTTTGTAATCTTTTTTTTAATTTGTAAATAAAATTGTTCCCTGGTGTCCCTATTTCCATGTGCACTAGGGAAATGACTGGTGATGGGAATAAGGATGTGTTTTCCCCTCTTGCCGTCCATGCAGAGGTCTCTGTAAGTTCCGATCCTTCCCGTACAACTCTCTCTGGCCCCTCAGACTTTATGAGGGCGATTTGGAAATCCTCACGAGTGACCTGGTCATATTTCACAGGCATATCAAGCTACTGAAAAATGCTCTGAGTTACTTGAGAAGCTTTGGTATCAAGATTTTATTATGATCTCTTTTTTTCCCCTTCATTTTATGACATGAAGAGGGACCAGCCGACAGAGAAGTTTTATATTCCTTCTGTGGAGGTCAGTGGCGCTGTCCTGTGGAGGATGGTCCAGGGGAGGGAGGAGCTTGCACAGGGGAGGGAGGAGCTTGCACAGGGGAGGGAGGAGCTTGCACAGGGGAGGGAGGAGCTTGCACAGGGCAGCTCTGGTCCTGGTGCCTTTCTGGTTTCCCTCCCAGCTGCTTACCTCCCTTCCTTCTCAATCCCATTCTTCCTTCTCTTCCTTCCCCTCCGTAAAGCTTTTAAAGTTACTATTAGATTTTAGGAGAGGACTTTAATCTTCCTGGAAAACGATGGCTGATTTAGAGTGGCCGTGTCTCTCACTGGGTAGTCTGTGGTGTTCGATGACATGTAGGCAAAACTGCAGCACTTCCAGAATCCCTCCCCTGGCCTTAGTGCATCTCCACGTCAATCAGTGTTTCCAAGGGGTGGAGAGAACAGCCATCTCCATGTCAATAAGTGATTACAAGGGCAAAGGAAGGCCTACTGAGCCGGGGAGGTGGGTGGAGCTCTGTCTTCTGCCACCACGTCAAGAGAGACACAGGAGGACTGCTTGTAAGAAAGAAACGGGTTTCTCCCACTTTATTTCTTTGACTGATTCAGGTTTTCAGTTTCAAAGGTATTTTGCCCTGGGATTTTCCCCCCGGAATTAGAGGCATTAGCCTCTGTCCCCTTCCACACCCACCCACATACTGGCCCCTCGGCTCACATGCATGTCTCCGACATCCATGCACATCAGTAGCTCACGGGTACCATCAACTCTCAGAAAAGAAACTCCAAGCTCATAAGTCCTGGGATCATCTGCAGTCACAACCACTTCCATGTGACCGCTGTTACTAAGGTGTCCTTGCAGTTGCTACTCATTCTGCGTTTGTCCCTTTGTCCCATTTTAACTTAGGAAGATATGGTCTGATTTTTTTAAACCGTTTTTCAGCTTTTCAGCTCCCCGTAATGTATGCAAATACAGCTCAAATTTTTCTTTCAGTCATCTTGAAACTAAATAGCAGTCTGTGAATTTACAAAATCTTCTGTAATACCTAAGAAAGTTCAGTGAAACCTGGTGTGTGAGTCTAGACATGTAATTATACTGCATCAAGTCAATAGTCACAGTATGTTGGTGATGTCACAGTGAACCAGAGAAGGATCACACGGTTTCCGCTGTGGAGAGACCAAGCTGGCCAGGCCAGGCCCTTTTCATAAACCCACCAGGGGCATTTGCATTTGGCAACTTCCAAACCAGCCTCTCTGAAAGACTTGAACTTTAAAAATGTCACCAACTTTCCCCAGATCCCTGGGTGGGCTTCTGAAACAGGTTCTAATTATTAGTCTGTGAAGTCATGATTCTTTCTTTTTACCTAAATTTCTAGTGGCATTAAGCATGCCTACTTACACCAGAAATAGCTGTGTTCTATCTGTCTTGTGGGGTTGAATTTAGCCAGCAGAACTCTGCAGAGGGATTTCCCTTACCTGGGTTAACAGTAGAGAAAACCCACAGAAGGGGCACCGGCAACCCCTCAGTAGCAGGTTTGGGAGGTAGGCTGTCCCACTGCGAGGCACGAGGCATGCAGCCCCACCCTGATAAAGCAGGTAAGGGCTGTTACCTCTGAGATTCTCAACACAAAATCCTAATTCCTATCAGAAGACCCGTTCAAGAAGAGGTTGTGTCCTGTGTCAACTCTTCACTTGTCCACTGAATATACCTTATTTATTAGTATAGAGGATATACTTGGTCACAAATGCAATGCCAAGGTTGAAGCAGACACTAGGAAATAGGAGGGACAAAGCTTGTAAGTATTTGACAGATCTTGATTGCAGAGACCTAAGAGCAAATTCCCCTGGGGTGTGGGGAGCAGAGACATGGTGGGGAAGTCGGGAAGATCGCAGAGGCTGCTGATGGCCGAGGAGGCGCCCGCCTGCGGTGGGTGGAGGAGCTGAAGCCTCAGTCCCACTGTCAGGTGTGCTCTGCTGGGCTTTGAGCTTTACCCTGGAGAGAACTGGCCTGCCTTGAAACAGTGGTGACATGACAAAAACTCTAAATCTCTAGTCTTTCTGAAGCTTGGATTTACAACATGAGGTCACTCACACCTCTGCAGAGCAGAATTACTGCAGTAATTGAGTGGACATGGTGCCTGTACAAGGGAGAGGTGGACAGTCTGTCCCCGGCTTGGAAATACTGAGCCTGAGATCATTCTCATCAAGGGCACCTAGGTCCCTTTCTGATTTCAAGGTGAGTGGTACCGGACATGACAGAGATGTTTAGGACTTCACCAAATATAAGTCCGGGGAAAAGAAATCCCAGGGCAAAATACCTCTAAAACCAACATCAGTCAAAGGGAGAAATAAGGTTTAAAACCCATTTATTGCTTACCAACTGCAGTCCAGGGCTGTCTTTCTCCTCAGCTCTGGAAGAAGCCAGCAAGCCAGCCAGTCCCTTCTCCTTAACCTCCCAGGTCCAGACAAGCCCTTGGTGGCCCAGGTAATTACCTATTGATATGGAGATGAACCTTTCTCCACCCCTGAGGAATGCCTATTGATATGCAGATGCATGAAAACCAGGTGAGATATTCTGTAAATATTACAATTTTACCCACACCAAACCACCTGCTAGCATCAAATCCACATTCCACCCAAGTCCTTGAAAAACTGCAGGCAGCCACACCCTCCCAGAGCCCATGCACAGCACCACGCACCAATCACGGCTTCCCTCTCCCGAGTCCAGGGTCCAGGGTCACAGTTCGGCCTGTGCACCCAGCCACCATGTCTGAGTTAGCCTTGACGATGAGACGTACTTGCCCACTCACTTCTAGATCTTAGCCAGTCACCTCCTCCTGAAAGCCACCATCTTGCCTGATCATCTTTTGTCAGACCCTTACCTTTGTCTTAGCAATGCTGTTGATCTTGCTGTCCGCTCCTGGTACAGCTGAGCAGCCTCCCCACAAGAAATCTAGAAGTTTGGCTGCTGGTTTGGGGCTGGTGGGCACACTGTGCAGCCGTGACATTGTCTTTCTGCTTCCTTACCTCTGGCGCCTCCACTCACAAGGACTGGTTCAGCGGCCCCACTGCCTGGCTGTTCCCAGCCCTCAGACCCCTGCAGAGACAGAAAGCTGCAGGCCACATCCCAGATCCTTTCAGATATTTCAACCACAAATAAGTGCACTGAGAGTTAATAAGCACCCAGCTAGGATACAGCCCAAGCATTGGGTTGAAAGAGGAGTCACCAAGAGAACCCCAGAATCCTGCCGGGAGCCCCATTCTCCTGGTGGAGGGGCCGTCCACGTACTCCCTAGGGCCCAGAATTAGAAGGAGCAGCTGTTGCGATAATGGTCTGAAGGGTGGTGCCCTCCTGTAGCATGAACCTGTCAATGATGATGGTGCTAAAACTTAGCTTTGGGTCCTGGTACACAGAGTGGGATTTACAGTGTTTTTTCAAATGCAAGACTTAGGAGGTACGGGGTTAAGGTGGGGAGGGAAGAGTAGAAGCGGTGCTCACAGAAAGGAAACTTTTCCGCCTTCAGTTTCTGCTTTCTCCTTCCCCTCGTGACCCTCACCATGTAACCTAGAATCTTGGTCTCCAGCCACCAACACAGGTTCCAGTAACTGTGGAGGCTGCCACCTCTGTAGTCTGACAGCCCCTGGTTAGCTTCACAGCAGCACATGAAATGAAACTAGGAGAGTTTGCATTCAAGTCATACTAACTACGAACTTGTATTCCTTTGTGGAATCTCACATTTAATGGATCTGCACACCTGAGCTTGGCTGTTAAACCTGATCACGAGGGCACCTTTGCCAACGTCCTTTCCTGAAATACAAGTCTGATGAGGAAATAGTGGAAGGCCAGGTCCCTGTTGAGGCTTCTTCAGAGAATGTCCTCTCCTCTCAGTTTGCAAACCAGTCAACTCCCACAACTCTGGATTCGAGGTTACTCTGAGTGGATCCCAGTTAGATATTGTGTAGGGGAATGTGGTGGTTAATTCTGTGTGTCATCGTCGGTGGGCTATGGCATCCAGATATCGGGTCAAACACCTGTCTCGATGTTGCTGTGCAGGTCTTTTAAGATGAGATTGATATTTAAATTAGACTTGGAGTAAAACATATCACCCTCCATAATGTAGTGGGCCTCATCTAATCAGTTGAGGGCCTTAAAAGTAAAGACTAAGGCTCCATAAGGAAGAAGGAGTTCTGCCTCGAATCTACCTTCATCTCACGCTGCAGTATCAGCTCTTCCCTAGGTCTCCAGCCCACTGCCTGTGTGCAGACTTAGACTTGCCAGCCCATACAATCTCTTGAACTAATTCCTTAAAATAAAACTACCACTCTTTCTTTCGATGTGTGCGTTCGTGCATACACACACACACACACACACACACACACACACATACACGTTATATATATGTCATCTACAAACACACCAGTGACCAAAGCTTGTCAGCATGAGTGAAGTGTTCTCTATTGGGCAGACCAGTAGAATCTCAAGGGGCTCAAAGTTCTTAAATTCCCAAGTTCCATCCCGTAGAAGTCATTGCTCAGTCGCACTCAAATTATCGGAGCGTCTTGTCTTTTCCTTCAGACACGGCTCCCTTCGTGCCTGGCCCCTTTTCCCTCTCCTCCTGTCTGATAATTCCGGTTAAGGTCTTAACCCTCTGGTCTCCATTCTTCCCTGTGTGGACTTCGCCTCTCATCAAAGATGAAATCCTCTGTTAAG